ATTTATCAGGAACTGGGTCTGTAGGTACTAATTCTCGGGCTTCCCATGGCCATTGATCTCCCATTACAGTTCCTCCCCAAACATAATATGAAGTGACACTGAGAGACTGGGCTATGTGCTCGGCTAATTGCAAAAACAAATTTCTTGTTTTTCCTGGAATTTCTGGTACTGGCACATTCAGTTCATCATAGAAGGTTTGAAATACTGACTCAGGAGAGTGTTTATAAACTCCTCCTCAAACCACGATATTTACTCGAGGATCCAGTCCAGACCTATCAATTCCTAGGGTTACAAGCTCCCCTTTTTTTTCCAGCGAGGATCCAGGGGGTTGGTTACTACTAGTTCTAAAGGGTTACACTGACCACTGGTATAGGAAGGGCCACTTTTCCCTTTCTGAAGGTGGACAGGATCCTTTTCATTTTTTATCCAAGTAGCCTAAATGACACAAGACCAGGATCCACATTCATTTCCACACAGTCCTAATTCATGGCAAATGTACTTACTTTCTGCCATAAGGCCTCTTTCCTAATTAAGAGAACCACATCCTATTCCTAACTTATTACTATTAATGACAGCACAAGCATCAAACTTCAAGGTGACTTGTTTGGGCACCCCTTTTTCTTTCATTTTGGCTAACACTTTACTCGTATCGTTTATGAGCCCCCACCAGTCCTCAGTCCTTAATCTTATTTCAAAAACTGTGATCATGGGAGGCTCAGATGGGTCATAATACACATCAGGTTGGTCATTTCCTGGGCTACACACCTTGTATAGAATAACATTATACAAACAAGTTCTTTTTAGAGTCCTGGTACACTTATAATAACCATAAAATAATAGGACTGTAGCAACTTTTTGTCCTACCTCAGTGCCTTGATGTATACACTGGGAAGAGCCCTCAGTCTGAGGAAGGTCAGTTAAAGTCCTTACCGTACAAGTCCAAATTTTAAGGAAAATGAGTCCCGCAATGAGTTTTCTCATGCTTCGGCCATGCATGGACCAATCAGCTTCCGGGTGTGACTGGAGCAGGGCTTGTTGTCTTTTTCAGAGTCACTTTGCAGGGGTTGGTGAAGCTACTCCTGTCCACATACCACTCATAGCCTACTGATGTTTAAGGATGGTCTCAGAGGTTGGGCCAGCTAGAATAAACTGAGTCCAATATCTCTACACAGTTATGTTCAACTGGGCTCTCTGATACCGGGAGCAAGGTGGTGGGGTTTAGGATGTTGCAAACGTCAGTGGTTATGTGGGGGTTTTCACATAGCAAGCTTTGGTGCTTGGTTAATCTAGCATTTGTTAGCCAATGATGTCATTTGGTATTCATCAAAGTTACCATGGCATGGGGGGCCTTTATATTCAGGTTTTGCCCAAGGATTAGTTTATCTGCTTCTTGTGCTAACAGGGCTGTTGCTGCCAGGGCCCTTAGACATGGGGGCCAGCCTTTGGAAACCCTGTCCAGTTGTTTTGAGAGATAGGCCACTGGCCTTGGCCAGGGCCTCACAGTCTGGGTTAAAACTCCAATTGCCATTTTTTTTTCTTTCTGACACATAGAGTGTAAAGGGTTTTGTCAGGTCAGGTAGCCCCAGGGCTGGGGCCGACAGGAGTTTTTCTTTCAACTGATGAAAAGCTCGTTGCTGTCGGTTGTAATAGATGTAGTTTATTCAATTTACATTTGTATTAACTGTCACCCACCAAAATATTGACTCAAATCCTGCAGCTATTTGATTTCAAGTTTTAATTGATCTGGTATTCACTGTGGGACTCCAATTGCGTCTAAATGGACGTGAGAGTCAAAAGACCCAGAAGGGGCATCTCTCGCTTTATGATGTCTTTAGTTTTCCTCCCTCTGGTTGATGAAATGCCAGGGTGAAAGGGATAGCCAATTGGACTAAAGTACAAGTGCCACTCCAGTTGTTTGGCAGAGTGCCCAGTAAAGGTCCACCACAATACTACCACACACCCGCTCAGGGATGAACATAGACTAACTGATTGATAAGCTCTTGAAAATTCTTAGGCTCACTGCATCCCTTCAGGTCTCCAAGGAATGCTGTTTCCTCCCTGTCGTGAGAGACACGAAGTGAACTTAGTGTTGGGGAGATGGAAGCTGGATGGCCCTCAGGGGCTGACCAGCAGGGTGCCAGACTTTGGGATATAGCAGAGAGAGCTTGGCAGGACTTATTACTCCAGGCTGTAGAATCCTGGAAAAGAGCTACCATGCAGCCCAGGCCTGGTCAACTGGGGGACCACCTTAGTGGAAAGGGGACAATCTGGGCCTCTGGCCTGCCATGTGCACAAGCATACCAATTACTTTTGTTTAATGTTTGGATGGAATATTTGATACACTCCAATGGATGGAATATTTGATCCATTGGAATGGATCTTGGTATCCTGTCTTAATTGCCAAAGTTTGTTTTAAGTCTTTAACTTCTATGATCCTCTAGTAAAATGAATGTATGATTTTAGGAAATTACAAAAAACGGTTGGGGCAGTTCATCCTTGGTCTTTAGTGGTCCACAGAACGTTGGACCAACTACGACATAAAAACTCTACATTGAGGGGCAAGACTCCTGGTTGGCACTGGAGTCTTTATCAAAATCTCCCTGCATTAAATGGCACTAATTTGCTAATGCCCAGTATGAGGAGAGTCAGGAGGGACAGAGATACTTTTCTGAAGTTGAGATCTGTCTTTGACTTGGCATGTCCTCACAGGGTATAACAAGGCAAGCATTAAATGCTATAGTTTGAGGCAAAATTGACTTGGTTATGTTAATAACCAGATGGTCAGCAATAGAGTGAGGAAAGAAGGAAGAGTAATAGAATAGAGGAAATAGTTAAATTTTTCTTAGCTTTAGTTTGGTAGGGTTTTCCCGTGGGACTGTGGCCCACAACTCTGGAGAGGGTGGCGCTTTGACTTGGGTGTGATGAGTCCATCCTTTTTCTGCTGTACGAACAGCAGTCTCTTGGGGTAGCAGCACAAGGCAGGGTCCTTCCTAGGCTGGCTCGAGTTTTTCTTCTTTCCACCCTTTGATAAGAAGGTGATCTTCAGGCTGGTGCTGGTTTACTGGAAATTCTAGGGGTGGAACCTGTGCTAAAAGACTTTTAGTTCTGAGGGAAAGGAAAGTGGAAGATAAACCAAGTATATAATTTCTAAGAAATTGAATTTTTGTTTTAAATGTGGGAACATCAACAGCAGACTTTATAGTCTTTGGTGCCTTCTTACTGAGAAATTTCCTTTAGCACCTATTTTTATTAGTTTTTAGATCAAAGAAAGCCAAATGCCATTTTGTATTTAATAATGCTTCTTGTATGATTTTTTATACCAGATAAGCTAAATTTCACCTTTATATTAGTGTATTATTAATGTTAAACTTAATTTTAAGAAAACCTTGTAGATGTATTTATCCAATTTTTAATGTCAAACCATAAGGTAAGATTTTTATAGACTCTTTTTAACCTTTTATAATTTTTGTTAAAGAGTAGGTTAGTGCTTTAAGAAACACCTGTTGTGTTTTTACTTTAATGTCCAGTTCACAGAAAAACTGGATGATACCCCTTTAACTTTAGCTAATATGTTTACACACAGAATTTTCTTTACAATTAATGTTTTAAAGCTTGCTTAAACCTTCAACTATACATATATATTTAACCTTTTAATGTAGGTAAAAATTTACATTCTTATGTCTCCTTATAATTCTTTTACCAAAGGTATATTTTATTTTCTTTATACACCTTGCACATAAACTGTTTTTTTTTTAATAGTTTTATATTCCGGAGGCCTAGTTACTTTTAAATTATACAATATTTCTTGCATAAATTCTTTTTTTTTTTAACTTTTTTTTTCTCTTTCATGACTTTTGCAGACAATTCTTCAACCTGCCTCAACTTTCGGAGTTATTACAAACATTTATTTCTTTAAACAACCAGTTAATTTATTTCAGGACGAGAATTTACCATATAACATTCTTTTTACATAAATTCTGTCTCACCTCCCCCCCACTATTTTTTCCAATGATAACCATTCTTTTCCAAAGCAAACTTCTTTTATGTCTGTGGACTAGACTGTCTAAGGCCACAAGATTAGAAGTTACAATAATACATGTTACACTGTTAACTTTTAGCAAACTTTACTTTTGTTGAAAACCTTGTAAGTTTGGGATTTCAATTATCCTTTGCTATTAATAAGACCTTGTTTAGTCCAATTGACTTAGAATTTGGTATAGATGGCTTTTTTTTTTCCCTTCAATTACCTGGAAGGAACCATAGATCTTCCTGTCCTGAGGGGAGTTCCTCCTAGGTCTGGTTGGACCTTTGTATGGTAATTAAGATTTAAATTCCCTGTTAGAAAACCTGCTGGATTAAGGGAATTTTCAGTGGTTAATGTTAAATCATCCTTTTTTTTTTTTTTTTTTTTAAGGATACTTTTGAACTGGTGAGGTGTGCTCACAATGAGGTTTCCTCTAAAAGTTATTTTTTTTACTTTCTTCTGTTAGTAAAGCAGTTGCCACTACAGATTGAATGCATCTGGGCCATCTGTGGGTTACCAGGTTAAGGATTTTTGATAGGAAGGTCTCAGTGCTTTTGGGATATGCCCTTATTTACACTGACAACAAAGTGGTATTAAAGTGTTACAGGGTTATGGAAAATACCTTTAATTATCAATTATAGGTTTTAAATTTACAATGGCTTTTAAAGGAATAGGGTACACTTTTTTTTTCTTAACTACTTGTATATCTGTTTCTTTCTCTCTTTGTTTTTCTCTTTTTCTCTTTGACTTTCCTTTTGCTTCTGTCTCTTTCTCTCTCTCTGCCTCTCTCTTTCTCTCTCTCTCCTTGACTCCCTCTTTGCCTCTCTGTCTCTTTCACTCTCTCTGCCTCTGTCTTTCTCTCTCTCTCCTTGACTCCCTCTTTGTCTCTCTGTCTCTTCCTCTGTATCTTTTCCTCTCTCTCTCTGCCTCTTTTTCTGTCTGTCTCTTTCCTCTCTTTCTCTCTGCTGGTCTTTCCTTACCTCTGCCAGCCGCTTATGCTGCTGTTCTCTCAACCGCTGTGGGAGGTGTCTAAAACCAGCTGTAACCAAATGTCTATTTACGGGAACTGGTCTGGGTGCCCTGGCTTACAGGTTACCTTGTGCTATACCTTTGAAACAAGGGACCTGTCCAGGTTTCCTTCTGATGGCCAACCTACCTCTAATGCTGACCAGTCTATTTCACATGAAGTGCTAAGTTTTCCTGGTGTCATAGTAATACCGTAATCTCCCCTAAATCCTTTCTTGAAAATTTTCAATAGTTCCTAGTGGGGTAGGCTTACTTTGTGCCTGACCCATGCTTCTTTGAGACAATTGCCCCAGTGAAACACCTCACCAAAGCAGCTCGTGGCAGACTCCCATGGAGGATCAATGCAGTAGCTGAACACTGGGAAGGAACTGGCACTTGGAGTCCAGACATCTGAAACTTGGTAAGACTAATCTTTGGAACTTGCCCACTCCATTTGAGTGGAAGTGTGGCCTGATCACCCACAGTGTGCCTGTACTGGCACTTTGGTTTTTGTTTTTGACTTGACTTGGATTGCTTGATACTTTGGTTTTGGTTTTGACCTGGCTTGGATTTCTGGATACGCTGATTTTGGTTTTGATTCTGGTTTGATGTAAACTGTAAAAGTGTGTGTGTGCCCTTTTTACCCGTTCTTTGTTTTGTGGTGTGTGTGTGGTGTGAGCGTGGTGTTTTGTCTCGAAGAAGCATGGGTCAGGCATAAAGTAAGCCTACCCCACTAGGAACTATTGAAAATAATCAGAATGGCACAGAACAAGACAGGGATTTTCACAATGTTCTTCCATACAGTGTCTGGAATCTATAGATAACATAACTGAATAGGTCAGGGGTCAATATTTAACCAGGTCCCTGGTGCTGAGCTGTCTGCCTGTGGATTTCATTTCTGCCTTTTAGTTTTCACTTCCTTCTTTGCAGGCAGAAATTGGGCATAAGACAATATGAGGGGTGGTCTCCTCCCTTAAGGTCATAACAGGAAAGGAGTGGTCAGACATGCCTCTTTACACCCTCTCCCTTAAGGAGTTCAGGCACAACTGACCAACACTGACACTAAAACAGGGATCTCAAGATGGACGAGACAGTCTTTGTAGCAATAAGATATCAAATTCCATCCTGACTCTCTGACTCTAGTATAATATCACATGACAGATAAAGAAGGAAATAAAAATATTTTACCCCAAAATATGTTTCTTTGCCATATTTTGAAATGTCCCTGCAATTTTGTGGGGGAAAGCTGTTGTGGGAAAAATTTGCATCTGTAAAGAATCTCTGTTAACATAACGAGGTCTTTACTTTTCCAGGCCCTTTGAATCCAGAAAAGATTAACTGAGAATCTAGCACCTTTTAAAGGTCTAAGTAGGAAACATTTGCCATCTATATTCTCCAAGGGTGACCACCCAGGAGACTTCATCTGCATAATAAGAGCCTTAGTTTGCACAACCCCTTATCTTAACCCAGACACTCCTTTCTATTGATTCCAGGTCTTTAGATAATAACTCTTTCAACCAATTGCGAATCAGACAACTCTAAGCGTCCTCTTCCAGTTGTCCTGCTTTTCCTTACCAAACCAATGTATACCTCATGTGTATTGATTGATGTCTTCTGTCTTCCTAAAACCCATAAAACCAAACTATAGCCCAACCAGCTTGGGCACATATTCTCAGGATCTCCTGGGGCTATGCCATGAGCCATTGTTCACTCATATTTGGCTCAGAATAAACCTTTTAAAATATTTTACAGAGTTTGACATTTTTTCATCAATACAGCCTTGGCATGATCGCTGCCATTTTCCACAATGACACCGCTTTCAAGGACCCAAAGTATAGCAAGATCTTGAAGTACTTGGGGAATCATGAACAAAAAATGAGTCATACAGGGAGAGCAGAGTGAAGCAAGTACAACTAGTAAAATTTCAGTCATTGAATTGTTTAAGAGCTTTGGAAATTGGCTGTTGCTTTATGTTAAATGATAGCTCAAATGTACGTGTGACCCTCAAATGTGTCTCAGCCATTCTGAATAAATCAGAATATACTATTTATAACATCTTATATTCATTTTAATTCCAGTTTGAAGTTTTCACAAATGCCATTGCATTGGCCATGCATTGAGATCTCACCATGAGCCAAACTGCATGTAAGAACCGTCTTGAGACACTGTGGTGACCACCAGAGCAACCCTGTGAGGCAGGCTGTCCTCATCATGCAGATGAGGAACGTGAGGCTCAGACTGGCTGTCAGGCAGCATGGAGCTGTGGAAGAACCTGGCCCAGAGCTTGGGGAGACTTAGTTTCCAAACTTTGACTCTTATAATGATGGGACTTTGGGGAAATTACTCAACTAAAGTCATTGGAACCAGAATGTTTGGAAAGAAATCTATGTTCATCTTGGCAAATCATGCTGGCTTAGTGCAGTCAGAGGAGCACTGGTTCATGAATGTCTTGTTTCCTATCAGATACGCACATATTTATGTGAACTTTGTGACCTTCTTGTTCCCTTTCTTCAGGACATGGGGAGAGAAAGTGCTAAAGCATACTTTTAATTGTGCTGGTTCTGGAGTTTGGAAGAGCCTGTCCAAAGAACAAGCTGGACATGAATAACGTATGACTTGTTCGGCCAAAAGCCCCACCACAAAAACCTCATGGAGCTTGCTACACATTATTTTCCAAATATCAACTCCGATTAAAAGGACTGTCTGGCCCACTGACAATTATTCATTGGCTTCTGTACAGTGTATTATTGTATGGCGCTTCCTCGGAACTATAATTAGGTGATTGTGTAAGGAGTCCATAGTGCACGTTTGAATAGTGACTCTGTTTGGATCATGATGTCACTCACTCTGGTCCCCTCTCATCATATGGCTGTGGATGTGGTGTGGTTGAATTCAATACATGTGAAATCAGACCTTCATTGAGTTTTCTTTTTTTTTTTTTGAGATGGAGTCTTGCTCTGTCACCCAGGCTGGAGTGCAGTGGTGCGATCTCAGCTCACTGCAAGCTCTGCCTCCCAGGTTCATGCCATTCTCCTGCCTCAGCCTCCCCAGCAGCTAGGACTACAGGTGCACGCTGTCATGCCCAGCTAATTTTTTTGTATTTTTAATAGAGAGGGGTTTCACTGTGTTAGTCAGGATGGTCTCGATCTCCTGACCTCGTGATCCACCTGCCTCGGCCTCCCAAAGTGCTGGGATTACAGGCATGAGCCACCATGCATGGCCCTTCATTGAGTTTTCTATGAAGTAATGATAGCACTTAAGATGAATCACTTAGGACATACCTGGAGTAATTATGGCCTAAGTGTTAGGAGTTCTGGGAATCCCTCTTTTTAGCTGTTCAACCTGGACAAGTCACTCAGCCTTTCAGAGATGATGTTCATCTGGAAATTGGGGTTCATGGCACCAGCAACCCCGGTTGGTTATAATATATGATGTGTGAATTACCTCTCTCTTCTTCCGCTCCACACCCAATCAATGCCACAGTTATGATGTATAAAGTGTGAATTACCTCCTTCTTCTTCCCCTCCACACCCAATCAATGCTGTGGTTATGATGTATAATGTGTGAATTACCTCCCTCTTCTTCCCCACTACACCCAATCAGTGCCGCATCCCTAGCATGCCCCATTTTAAGCATCTCTCAACTCTCCCCACTTTTCTTTGTCTGCATGGCCACTTCTCTGTTCCCAGCCTTAGGGCTCACTGCACCCGCTCCTGCAGCCTCTAACAGACTGGCTGCTTCCATGATGGTCTTTCTAGGCGATCACATGGGACATGTTCTCTAACTTAGACCCCTCCAGTGGCATCTCTGGAAGTTTGCAGCTGCACTGCTACCTGATGCTGTGCTCTTATGAGTCAAATTCCTAATCTTGACCTGTATGCCCCTGTATGATTTGTCCCCATTTATATGTAGAACCTCATGTCATGCTACTATTCCCCTCACTACCAGTGTTCCAGGCAAAGCAGCTTATTTTTTAGCAACTGACATACATAAAAAACTCTCCTTTTAAAAGACTTTTGCACTGGATGTTCCTTCCACCTAGAGCTTTCTTCATCCTCTCCTCAGCCCCCTTGCATGCCCTGCAAATCTAGATCAACCTTCAAGAACAAGCTTGAAGTGTCCTTTCCTTGGGAAATTCCCATACGGACCATCCCTCTGCCATTGTGTAAACTCCCAGTAAACAGTCTTACTCCTTCCTAGAACATATCACATCTCCAGTGAAATAATTACCTTGGTAAAGATTTCTTTAAAATCTGTCTCCTCCTCTGAACTATTTCTTGAATCTGGTCTTATTCCCAGCACACCATGTGGCTTTGTCAATACACATTGTAGAAGGAATAAAGTTATCAATCCTCTATGAACTTAATTCTGTCGTTTTTTGCATTTGAACATCCTTGAGGGACACCTTTGCTCTTTGATCTTCAGCTTTCTCTTGGTCGAGAAGAGACATGGCTCTGTGTGAGGGAGTTCCATCCCTGGGCTTTCTTAGCCACGAAGGCCTGGCTGGAAAGCACAGTAGGAGTCAGGAAGGGTCGTTGATCTACTGAATGGCAGAGCTGGAAAGAAGCATAGGAGTCCACGAGCCCAGTGGCCACATTTTACAGATGGGGAAGCTGGGGCCAAGAGAAATCAAACATTATGTCAAAAAGCAGAGGTAAGAAATAACTTCAATGAATAAAATATTATTTTAGCAGGGATACATAGAAAAATATATACTTACACATGACATGATTTCTGGACAATTTTGTAATTTTCTTTTTCTGAGACAGAGTCTCACTCTGTTGCCCAGGCTGGAGTGCAGTTACTCGATCTCAGCTCACTGCAACCTCTGCCTCCCTGGTTCAAATGATTCTTCTCCTCAGCCTCCTGAGTAACTGGGATTACAGATGCCCACCATCACACCCGGCTAATTTTTGTATTTTTAGTAGAGATGGGATTTCACCATGTTGGCCAGGCTGGTCTTGAACTCCTGACCTCAAGTGATCTGCCCGCCTTGGCCTCCCAAAGTGCTGGGATAACAGGCAAGAGCCACCGCACCCGGCCAAATTTTGTAATTTTCATTTCTATTGCTTCAGCGACCTCCATGGCAGCCTTGAGAAGAAGGTATTGTTTATCCTCATTTTACAGATGAGAAACAACAGAGAACATGGGTAACAAATGAAGTCAACCCAACTGAGAAGTGCCAAAGCCTGACTGAGTCCCCGCATTTCTGGTTGCTGGTTATATAGTGGTTGTTTTCCCCACTATACTGCTCTGCACCTCTTACAAATAAAAACTTGGGCAACTCCACTTCAGGTAAGAAATACTTGGTCAGGGAGCCATAGCTATGAGCAAAATTATGTTCTGCTTCATTCGCTTCTCTGCTTATTTGTGGCTGTGACTTCTGTAACCTGTCCTGCCGTCTGTTAAATGAAACTGCCTCAAGTCACAGGGACGTGATGGGAAGAAAGTATAGGCACTTTGGAGTCAGACTTCCTGGAGTTGAAATTCTGGCTCTGTCACTTACAGGTGGGTGACCCCAGACAGGTCATAGAAATGGGAGACAGAGTGAGACCCTGTCTTAAAAAAAAAAAAAGAAAAGAAAAGAAAGAAAGAAAAGAAAAGAAAAAGACATACCTGAGACCGGATAATTTAACCAGAGTGAGACAGGGTCTCACTCTGTCGCCTTGCTGAGCCTTGGGTTTCCCTTTGTAAAATGTGGGGACTAATTGCCTTCCCCTAGGTTTGTTTAGGATTAAATGGGGTAGTGCTTATGAGATACAGATAAAACAGAAGGCACCATAAACATTATGTTGACAACAGTAGCATGGAGCAACCCCATTGGCAAGATGTCAGGAAAGGTCATCCATTGGGTAGAAAAAGTACAGGGATTTGTCAGAAAGGCAAAGTGAACCCCAGGGGTACACTTAAAGGGAAGCAGGCTTGCAACTGATGTGGATTTTCTTTTAGCTGCAGGTCTTATTGGCTGTCTCCTAATTTCAAATCTACAACCCCATCTGTTCTGCCCATTGCATTCTTTCGGGTACGTGTGCATTCGTGTGTGTGTATATACGTGCTTGTGCATGTGTGCACACTTACTCATTGACTGGCTGGGAGCAGGGGCCAGGCAACCTCCCAACAGCTCCCCAACCCCCAGCAGCATCAGCACATTTCTACACATATTACATATCAAGTTCTGTATTTGAATGGGAAAGGTGAAAAAAGTGAGACAATGTTTATAAATTAATTTTATTGCCAATCTGAAAACGGTTTCATTCCCAAAGCCATTTAGAAGCTTTTGTTTTTCCAAGCTGTGACTCTGCAACATTTATTCAGAAATGGTCCTTTAAGGAACTCACACAAATGGGCTGTGAATACTATCATTTTATGAGCACCCTTTCCACAATCTAGAAGTCAAAGTCTGAAAACGCCATCCCTAAATGTTAAACTAGAAAATATTAATTTAGAATAATTTTTTTGTTACTGACATTTAAGTTACAATTTCATGGCAGACTCTGAAGAAAGGAGGAGGGATTGCAGAAGGAGGTGGCAGGTGATCAAAGTAGAATGAACCAGTTGGAAGAAAAGAAGAGCCTAAGTCATTCCTGAGGAAACAAAGGAAAGCCGGAGCCTACCAACTTCTCAGGCAGATGAAAGTCATGCCCTGGGGGATTTACCAGGTCCACCTGCTGTGCCTCAACCTGCAGGCTCTGTCATTGTGTTTTGCCTACAGATCAAGGGCAGGTCCGGGGCAGACCCATCCTCCTCAACTTCCCAAGACTGAGATGAAAGCAAGAGTTAGATTAGTTCATTTTCAGCGAGAAATCAAATCACCATGACAAGGTCTGGAATCTCACATTAGCATAGCAAGCTCTTTTCCTCTGTACATTGAGCCAGCTCAGAAGAATCTCTAATGTCTAATAGTGGGTGGGGGGAAGGGTTAGTGGAGATCATCAGAGTAGACCATGCCCTTGGGGCCCAAAGGCAGGAAGTCCCCAAGCCAAGGCTCTGGTTCCTTGGTAAGTGATATGGTTTGACTCTCTGTCCCCACCTAAATCTCATGTTGAATTGTAATCCCCAATGTTGGGAGAGGGACCTGGTGGGAGATGATTGGATCATTGGGGCAGATTTCTGACTTGCTCTTCTCTTAATAGTGAGTTCTCATGAGATCTGGTTGTTTGAAAGTGTGTAGGATCTCCCCTTTTGCTCTCTCTCTCTCTCCTGCTGCCTTGTGAAGATGTGCTTACTTCTCTTTCTCCCTTCTGCCATGATTGTAAGTTTCCTGAGGCCTCTCTAGAAAAATTACCCAGTCTTGATATGTCTTTTTTTTGACAGGGTCTCACTCTGTTGCCCAGGCTGGAGTTCAGTAGCATGATCATGGCTCATGGCTCACTGCAACCTCCACCTCCTGGGTTCAAGAGATTCTCCCACCTCAGCCTCTGAGGTAGCAGGGATTACAGACATCTGCTACTATGCCTGGCTAATTTTTGTATTTTTAGTAGAGATGGGGTTTCACCATGTTGGCCAGGCTGGTCTCAAATTCCTGATCTCAGGTCATCCATCCACCTTGGCCTCCCAGGTATGTCTTTATAGCAGTGTGAGCACAGACTAATACAGGAGGCCACTGTCCGGACCTGCACCTGTGAGAACTCTCTCTCCTCTCATTGCCAGCCAACCCCATTTGCAGGAGAACCTTCTTCTTTCTAAGGAGAAGACAAAGTTTTCTCTGTGAGGTCATAGATTC